GGTTGAGCTCTCGAGTTAGCGATGCCTTGTCTATCAGGAACACGGTCTAAAAACGTAATTAGAGAAAAGAACGCTACCGCAAGATACGGGGGCATCTTGGTGGCGGCACATCTCAAACCGCGGCAAACATTTATTTTTTTACTACACATAATAGAACCAAGTCTTAGAAAGGCTACAACAAACTCCAACGCGCCTGAGCAATTTTAATTTTCCCGAGGTCTTGCTTGCTACTGGACTTAGTCTCAGAGGATGCCTCCGTACCTTGCGATAGCGTCGAGTAAAATTTAGAATAAAATCATGCTAGTTAATGAACAAGTAATGGTAATTGGTCATCGAACCCTATACTGGGTCACAAAAAAGGTTTTTATCAGCTGTTGCATAGAGCAATGTTCGAAAAAAGTTCATGTAACTAATCTACAGAAACCCCAAACGGGCCAATAAGTAAGCGAAATAGCTCGATTCTATGAAGAGGAGTTGTACAAAAATTACAATGGAAATGGTGTGGCAGCAACAGGCGCCGCTAATGCTCATATGTATGGTCACAGGATCGAATCACGCTGATTAAACTTTCTAGCCTGTAGCAGTGAAATGATGGAGTATTATAAAGATTAGTAGTTATCATTAAGGATTACCGAGTATTTATAATAGCAAAAAATGCTGAATTTGTGATTTTCCAAATCAAAATTGTTAGGTTTGAGTGAAAACGAAGAACTTAAAAATTTTTAGGGGGGAATAATCAAACATTAGTTCGACTTCTGTTTCGCACGTGCCCTTACAAGGGAGGTCGTTCAGGGTGTGCCAAGCTTTTTCAAAATGGTTTCTTGCATGACATTGGGGCACATGTGGGAACCACAGAACCATGGTTCATTTTTCCTGAACGGCCCTCTGAATACCAAAAAAGGGGTCCCTAGTTCGATTCCTCGTGGTGACAAATTTTTGCATTTCGAGTTGACGTTTCAAAATTCGCGCAAAAAATAGTTAGCATCAACAATATTTTATATTCCTCATTAGGAGCGTCAGAAACCCTTACAAAAAGACT